GACAGAGAAAGCAAAAATGATTGATTGATTTATCGATTGATCGATCAATCGATTAATTGATCAATTGCATCATTGATTGGTTGATTGATTGATTGTTTAATTGAAAAAAACAAAAAATTCCAATCAACCAAGCAGTCAATAGAATTGCGTGATTCATTGGTAGATAAATAGACATAGAGAGAGAGAGAGAGAGAGAGAGAGAGAGAGAGAGAGAGAGAGAGAGAGCAAGAAAAAAAGGTTCCGTCGCGTCAACTCCGTCCAACAACTGCGAGCCCTCGACTTTGAATTAGAAGCGGGTGTATGCGTCTAGGCAAGAAAAGGCTCCATTGTGTCGACTCTGTCGAGCCCTCGATTTGGAATTAAAAAAAAAAAAAAAAAAAAGAAAAAAGTAAGCACGTAGCCCCATCCTACACCCGGACCCGGCAAGCATCTTAAGCCTGGGCCTGCACCTAACACCCACAGTGCAGGCCCAGTCTGGGCATATTCACGGTCTGACCTTTTAAAGGGAAAAAAAAAAAAAAAAGGCTCCCAGGCTGCACCTGGGCCCGGTCAGCTGGTTACCCTTGAGCGTGGACCAAAGATTCAGCCAGAGCATGGGGTTGTCCCCTACATGCTACATGCTTGGTCTTGTGTGCCCACCCTTCCCTGGACCAGTCTCCCTCGCCTGCTCCCAGCCACTGTCCCCGACCTGACCCTCGGGGCTGTGTATATCGCCGTACGAATAAGGCCCGTCTGTGCATCCGGACGTCTGTACGTACGGCTCCCCCGGTGTCCGTATGGCCTGTATGTACGGACTTTTGGCCCTCCGTGCGTAGCCTTCCGGAAGGGTGTTGAGGGGGTGGATGGGCCAGGGGGGGAGCGGGTGTCAGGGGGTACCCCCCCATTCAAAAAAACAAGAAAAAAAAAGATTTTTTTTTTGTTTGGTCCCGGGGGTAAAAAAAAATAAATTTGATTGATTGATTAATTGGTTGATTGATTGATTGATTGATTGATTGATTGATTGGATGATTGATTGATTGATTGAGTGATTGGTTGATTGATTGATTGATTGATTGTATGATTGATTGATTGATTGATTGCATGATGATGATGTCGTAGATTGGTCCCGAAAAAGAATGCTTATGCCAATGTATGTTCGCAAAATTTTGAAAAATAAAATATTTTTGCG